TACATGAATTTCCGGCACTTAGGTGCCTGACACATAACAAAAATTTAATAAATGCTTTCTCTCCCTCCCTCCCTCCTTTTCTCTTTCTTTCTCTCTCAACACAAACTGATGATGGCAAGGAAGAATGATACATGTATATTTGTATTATACAGATGTATGTTGGGAATAACTCTGAATTATAGTAATGCACTGGTCACTGACACTGGCAACTGGAACCATGGCTAGAAGACCTAGAACAGCAGATATTTCAAAATGATCTATCTTTTGACAAAAAGGAAAAGAAGTTTCATAAATCAGTATGAAAGAATTTTGACTACAGAGCAGGTATGATCAATTTACAGGTCACAGACTAGGCAGTTACAAAGGTTAACTACTTTCCAAAGATTCCCAAAATTTCCGTACCCCTGTGCTTTTGGCCTACAGAAACTCTAGCTCTAATCCTGAAGGAAAGTGATTAAACCTCTAGTCCAGGTAATGCGTGTTGAATGGCAAAGGTAATGTGTGTTGAATAGCAAAGAGATTCAAAATTAACTTGAGATTTACATTTTTATTATGCCCCCTCCCTTAAATCGATTACTTCACAGAACCAGAATAGTAATTCTAGAGTTGGAAGGGACCTTAGCAGCATTTAATCCAGCTCATACACAAAAAAGAAGGCCCTTGACATCACGTCTGACAAGTGGTCATACCCACTGTGTGAGGCTCTCCAATAAGGGGGACTCATTGCATCCCAAGGCAGTCCATATTCCACTCTTGGATAGCTCTAACTACAAGGACATTTTTTTCTAACATCAAATCTACACTTGCCTCTTTGTGACTTCCACCTATTACCCTTGGTTCTTTCCTTTGAGGGAACAACAGAACAAGTCTGTACCCTCCTCCACATATGGGAATACAGCTGTGATGCACCTGTGTCTTCTCTTCTCCAGATTAGAGGCCATTCACCATTCTGCTTAATCCTATAGTGCTACAAACTACAAGGAAATCTGAAGACACAGAGACCGTCTATAATAGGATGATCAAAAAAAGACTTTACTAAGGCGACACCTGAGCTAAGCCTGGAAGGAAGATAAGAAGTTTGCCAGGCAGAGATAAGAAGGTAGCACACTTCAGACATGGGGCACAGATCAAACATAAGCATACATTTGGGAAACTGCTTAGTAGTTGAGTTTGGCTGTGATACTGTTTGTGGGGTAAGATAGAGCTGGAAAGGTAGTTGTAGCTAGAATGTATAAACACCAGGTGTAGGGACCTCTCTATTTTATCCTACAGGCAATAAGAATCTGCCTACAGAGAGCTGCTGAGTTAGTTACAGAACAGTTGTGAGCTCTGTCAGCAGAGGCGAGGTGCTAAAATGACAGGCATTTTGCAGTTCTGTGGTATAAATTAGGCAGGCCTGTGAGTTCAAGAAGTTCTAGATTATAACAGGATGTTAGTGTCACAGTCAGATTTTTTGCAACAATGGGTTGATGCACAATGAACTATAAAAATGTATTAACCTGAATCTACATAAATCAGCCATGCAGATTACCTGAGGAGTCACCAGGTATCTGGTCTGCCTAGAAATGTAGCCTAAGTTAAACTAAGTTCCTCTTCCCTTTGAGCTGAACATACCATTTACTCTCTACTCTGATGAAAAATGACGCAAGCTTTCACTCTGAGCTGAGCAAATCTATTGTTCTGCAATGTGAGGAACTTCTCAGAAGAAAAGTACTTCATTAGTTTAGTGTGACCGTGGGCAAGTCACTTATTTTCTCCCAGCTTGTACTTCTCAGTTTCTTCTTTGGTAAATCAAGGGAGAGGACTCACTGGGATTTTCTAAGGCCCCTTTCAATTCTAACGTTCTAATTCTATGACTCCTAGCCAATCTCCTCTGCAGTCTAATAAAGAACCTTTGATACAGAAGGATATGATGTTATGGGGTATTTGACTTTGTCCAGCTGAATATTTTCATGACTTCTCTAAAAAACATTTTTGTTTTGTTCACCCTTGTTTGTTTAGGCAAGAAATAGTTGTGCCTTGTCCAGCATTGTAAGTGGTTCTTTCTCAGAGTGTGTGCAAAAAACTACAAGGAGAGGTCCATGGCTCCTTGACTGGGAAAGGCTTCTTTTTCTGGCTTCTCAACTTTGGGTCACATTTCTAAAGTGTGTCTTCCTCCCATCCCTGTTGGGCCTTCACTCCTGCGAGCAGTAGTGTGTGTGGTTCTAAGATATCCTGACCCTTCTGAAACCTTTCTAGGTGTCATCAATGCTTTCTTGATCTCTTGGAAGAAAACCAAAACACCTTTGGAATCTAAGCTATAATGCTAAATGGAGTTAAGTTCTCTGAATCTGAAAAATCCTCTTACAGATGGTGAATGGACTAATGACCAAGGAATACCTCCTCTCTTCTTTCTCCCTTCCTCACGCCACCTTCCCCCCCCGCCCCCGGCCCAGTGTAATATCTCATTAAGATGGAGCATAGGGTTCCTTAACCTGGTGTTCACTTAACCCTAAGGGATCTCTGGAAAGATTTCCAGGGATCCATGAACTTGGATAGAGAAAACAATCACATCTTTATTTCAACATAATTTATTTCCTTTATAATCCTATAGATAATATAGAATAAAATGCATTTAAAAATACTATTCTACAGGCTTCACCAGAGTGCCAGAGGGGTCTATCACATACACACAAGAAAGGTAAAGAACCCTTGATATAACAGAATTTGCAATTGGTGAGGCAAGAAATTCTACAGATATTGATTGTGGCCTCTTATCTTTCAAGGTCTGCACAGCATGCGGCTTTGAATCTTGGCCCTTTTCACTCACTACTTGTGCAATACTGAGCAATCAACCTTTTGGGCCTCAGTTCCCTCATCTGTAAAATGAGAGTTTGAACTAGATGGCCTCCAAGGTCCCCTTCAGCTTTAAATCTGTGTTCTAATGATTGCCTTCTAACAACACAGATGTTAAGAGGCCCTTTATCTCCCACAATTCTGATTCATAGAAGATAGAGTTCATTAATTACACTAAAAATAAAGCATCCTGAAACTCAGGACAACACATTTGCAGGGTACAGGTACAGATTTAAAAAAATGGATGAACTGTGGACTCTCTCCCATTTCAGTGCTGTTTGAACATATTTTTAGAGGCCACTTGGTGCTTTTTGGTAAAACCATGAGTCAGGCTCCATGCTTGGACTGAACTTAGGTAGTGAATTTATATGCTTAACTTTTGAAGGTTTCCTCTCAAAACTTTGACTCCAGCCTATCTAAAAAAGCAAGATTAGGTAACAGAAAGAAGTGTGTGGCAGAGTGGTGAAAAGGACACTAAGAATTGGAAGACCTTGATTCTAGATCCATCTCTATCATTATCTGTATTATTTACTTTGGACACCCAACTCTTCTGTGTCTATTTCCTTACCTATAAAATGGGAATAAGGCTGTATACTTCATAGATATTTTGTGAGGATAAAATGAGATAACAAATGTAAAAGTGCATTTTAAGGTCCACTGCATTAAGAACATGTAAAATAGTATAATAATCTTTTGCTTTTTCTTCTTGCTAACCTGCCATCCCACTGTTCTCTTCATCAGTTTGGAGTCTTTCTGACTCAGCTCTTCACTCTTTGTTAGCTCCTCCTTTTTGGCTCCTATAAACGGTTTGGGAATTTTGAAGGATATTTAAACTTAGCTTATACATCCTCCAAATAACAAATCTTCCTCCTCTGGGCTTTTCACTGGCCCATAGCCTGCAACTTGCTGGGTACCTTGTAGCTGCATAGCAATATGCAACAACTGAAGACACAGGCTGGAAGTTTTCTATGTGTCTGCCAATACTCCATTAGCATAAACATCATTAATATGAAAACTTTCTTTAGCAGGAGGAAAATTGTTTAAAAACTTCCTAAGAGGAAAACTTCTTATAAAGGAAATGATAAATTAAAAATCTATAGATACGACCTAAAAATACAAATATCTCATCAAATCACATGGGAAAACTTTGTAAACAGGAAATTATGCAAAAAGGATTTATTGTAGTTTAATGTACCATTAAGTCAATTTGAATTAAACATGTACTTTTAATAAAAAATTAGGGGAAGATTTATAATCTTCCTACTTGTGACTCTGACTCAGATTTGAGATGGTAGAGTAGCTACCCTCTTCACATTGGACAGTGACCTTTTTGGCAAGTCCTTGATGACCCAAATAAGCAAATAGTATCCCGTCTGTACTGAGGATAAAGGAATAACAAAGTCTGAAGCTGCCCTCCTTATCTTTCTAGGGTTGCACTCACCCCTTGAAGAAACTTCTTTCAATCATAGGAACACATAATTTTTTTTATAACTGGAGTTCTAAAGAGAACCATATGCTTAGAGTACTTTGTGGAATTTCTTTTACTTCAAATCACAACACTGAATAATGATTTAATTGAAGCTAATAATTTGTTTAGGTTTTTGGATGTAGACCTGGTTTCACTGGTGTGGATGCAGCTCCTTTGTAACTTGCTGCCTTCGAGGATTTCCTGGGGAACTCTGAGAGATGGGTGCTTTGCCCACCTTCCAATAAGCAGTATGTGTCAGAGGCAGGGCTTGAACATAGGTCTTTCTGACATTAGGGCTAGTTCTTTTTTTAGCTGCCTCTCAACAAAGTATTAATTTCAAATCGCAGCCATGCACTGAGTCCACCCATACATTGTCTTTATGACACCACTCCAGCACCACTACTAAGCTACCATGAAGCCCTCTGCTTATCCCTTGTTTGCTGGCTCTTCCTGGACTGAACAAGGTTCCACTTGGACCTCTAAATCTCTATGAACTTGTACATGTACTTCATTTTATTCCCTTAATATTTCTGGGTTTCTTCAATCCTTTTTCTCGAATGTTTGTGTCTGATATTGCTATACCATGTGGTTTCCAGGGAGATTTTAAAAAGAAATAGCTGGATACAGGCATAAAAATGCAGAATACATGAACAGCCAGCTTTAACAATCACTGTGTTTGTGAGACTTTCTGAAATACCTGTGGGGACTTGTGAGAACGCCAGCTGTACTGGTGACTGTGGAGACTGGCCAGCAGAATATTTTCATCAGTATCCACCTGGCCAAACCGCAGTGTCTCCTGTGTGTCATTACAGATTACAAAATGGCCGAAGACCAACTCCTCTACCTCAGGGCATTGGTTCTGAAAGGAAAAGAAGAGGAAAGCCAATGTGCATCAGATTAATTGCAAGATGTTTGGCAGCTGTCTGCCCAGTGGCGAGAGTTACAAGACAAAAACATGAAAAGATCTCTTGTCATTAGCTCTGGTATACAAAATATTCTACACTCCCAAGCATAAGCATGACACACACACACACACACACACACACACACACACATACACACACCTTAAAGAGACCTAAATTGTTCCAAGAATATGTTTTGATTTATATTACTGCAAAATAAATCATACACCACAGAAAAATAGAAAGAACAATGAGATCTCTCAAAGTTTTGAGGTTTCTTCAAGCAAATTAACATGCTTCAAAAAAAAAAAATCTCTGTGGCCCAGTGCTCTTCAAATAATGCTCTAGAAGTAAGGATGATGAGGTCTGGGTTCTTCTCAATGATGACAATCAGATCCATTACCAAAGAGGTGGTGCGTACTCTTTTGAAAGCAAGGATTGTTTGGGTAACAAAGCCCTCCAATCCCTTATGGAAGAGTGTGAATGTGTGAGTAAAGCTCCTCTGAGAGAAAGACAGAGAAAAACCTGCAGATTTACTTATGCTGCTCAGGGACTGAGCTTGCAAGATTGATCAGGTCTAGAAGCTGCTTAAAAGCCAGGGTGTTTTTTTTTTCGAGAGTGGTAAAAGTAATCACCAGTCTTACAGAGTGTCACTCCTATGAATAAATATGCTTCAGCTAATGTCTAGTAACTGATGAACATCAGTTAGTGGCATATCAGTGGACTCAAGCAAAGTGTTGAGCCTTTCTGATGACCTAGCAGTCCCTGTGAAGTCAACCAAATCAGAGAATCAGAGAATTTCAGAGCTGGAAGGGATCTCCAAACCTACCTTAGTATAATCCATACCTAGCAAATAAATAAAAATCCCTGTTACGGTGTGCCAGACACTAGTCTTTGCCTGAAGATCTCCAATGAGGGGAAATCCTGGATGAAACCTATTCCAATTTTGGAGAGCTCTAATTTTTGCTAAGTGTTCTCTCATATCAAGCCTAAATTTATCTCTCTACAACATTCACCTATTATTCTAGTTTCTGCTCTCTGGGTGGGGCTAAGCAGAACAGGTCCAGATTGTTTTCTTTCTGAGAGCATTTTAACCACTTAAAAGATGGCTGACACTGAATCTTCTCATATCCAGGCTAAACATACCTTGTTCCTTCAACCAGTTCTCATGTAGTATAGCCTTTAGCCCCTTTGCCACTCTGATGACCCTCTTCTGAATGTTCTCCAGATGATCAAGATCCCTCCCTAAAAAATGGTGCTCACAAATAACTGAACACAATAATGCAAATGTGATCTGACCAGGGCAAAATGCAACAAGATGGTCACCTTTCTTGTCCTGGACACTGTCTTCCAATGTAACCTAAGATCACATTAGAGTTTTTGACTGACAGCTGCTGGACTGATCTTGCAACAACACCTAGATCCTTATCCACACACAATTATGTTCAGAACACATGTCAACCAAGGTGCAATCCACTAAAGTGCTAGTAGCTGAAATATAATGACAATCTGTGGAGAAGGGGCCCTCCATCCCTACCCACTTTACCATCTTGCCACCATTGGGAAGCCAAGCTCAATCCTTTGCACACAATAAATGCTTTTTCATTCACTGCATTCACTCATCTATGACAAATTGGTCTTGACAATACTACTTCCAATTTTCTCTAGTTTTGTTTTTTTTTCTAGCTGAAGATCTAGAATACTGTCAAAATATTCTTACGCCAAGTGGCCTGGAATTTTATTGACACTCTTTTCCTTCCTCCTGCCCCAGTTCCATGAAACATAAATGGAGCAGTAGATTTCACTGCCCGTTAGGCCACTTGTCCTGCTTCAGGGTCTCAGGTTCCTGAAGTCTAGAGGGATGAAGTTCAGAATAAGCTGAGACTGAACCTGACCAATGGAAGCCAATTTGGTACAATCCATTAAGGAATTCTTTCAGAAGAGTCAGCTTGAGACTAATGACCTGGAAGATGTCAGAGGGTGGGTCATAATCGAGAGCACTGAAACCCTGGGGGGGGGGGAGGCAGGAAGGGGAGGGGTTCTAGATATGGTTCAATTTCTCTTCATCCGCCGTCATGTCCATTGGCAATATCCATTTCCACTGAGTAGCAGAAACAGCATTTATCCTTTTGAGGGCCCCAGTGACCACCTGTAGATGAGAGGGTTATAACAAAAGGACTCAACAGAAAACTCTGTCTCTTTCTGATAGAATCTTTTCATTATCAGCTATAGTTTCTGTTCCAGTGCTCCAACAGATGTGTGATCTCACTGACATGAGGGCCTGTTCAAGGATGCATATGACAACTTTTCCATACGTGTACACCCAATGAAACTCTCACTCATGTCCTCCCATAAGCTCACCACAGGGGGTTCACCCAATGTGCTGGGGGAGGAGGGCTATGTTGATCTCTCCTGATCTTGTGAAAATACTTATATGGCACACAGCCTATCCTTTAGTCATCCCTTGCTCCTATCATGTGAGCAGTCAGTTTGCTTTTTCAATCACACATTTTTTATGAACTCGTCAAACTTGTTAATCAAGTTTTGTTATTAAATGTTCATCCTTTCCCTTAACATCTTGAACACTAACATGAGAAAACTAATGTGACTCCAAGTCGTAACTATCTTAAAAGTCCTGGGATTCAAAACTTCATTTTAGTAACCATTAGTGATCTATTTATTAGTGACACTGAGGTTAGGCTACCAGATGGGCTCTGAAAAAAACAACAACAAAAAAAGAAAAAAAAACCCATTTCTTTCGTCATCTCTACAGTTGACCTTTTAATAAATGATGAGGGGTTTAGGAAAAAATGTAAATTAAAGAACACAAGGGAGTTATTTACATTTTTCTAAAGAATACTGAAAGTCTTTAGGGAACTGTATCACTGTACTGACTCTTCATCTGTGGAATTCATTATAAGTGTAACAATTTTAAACCCTTCTTGGAATGCTGGACATAGGATAAAATTTTTTAAAGCATTTTATGTGACATCACATACTCTGAAAGAACCCGACAGTGCTTACTTTAATAATTATTTACCATAGCATCAATACTCCTGGTAGAGTTTAGAGTGTCAGAGACTAATTTGTAACTAAGTGGGATATACTGCATGAAATAAAAAAGATGGACACAATTTTCACCTTTTTAAAAACACCCCTCCAGTGTTAATCTGCTCAGATTTTACCTGAAGTTACAATGCAAACTGCATTTGATATTCTGGGACTATAATCTTGTTTCAAAAACACATTATTTGCCGAAAGAGAGAAGAAGAAAAAGAATGCATAGCTAGAAAAATCAGATCTTGGTGAAGGCTTCTGTTAATCTTGAACTCCTGACCTGAACACGGAAGGCCAAACAGTTTCATGCTTCAACTGTCCGGCCCATCGGCAGTTAAAAAAAACCATTTATCTGAGATATCAATCCAGTAAAAATATGCAGAAACTCAAATCGTGTACCCTGCTTATTGAGTTCATGTTCTGGTTGGCAGCAAAAACACTGTATATGAACATGGCTGCACAACAAACCCTGTGGCTGGGAAACTGTATTTTCCTTCCAATGCAGATAAAGCATATACAGAACATCTTAGAAACAAGGACTTCAAGAACTTTTCACGAGTCTATTTCCATGTCAAATATCTTGTGATTTCAAAAGAGTACATTTTAAATTTATTTTGGAATACATAAGGTTAGATGCCCACCACATTAGAACATGGTGGCAAGTCCCCTTGACATGGGAGGAAACGAGGAAATTACAGCAACAATTACAGAAGTGTATCCTCTTGTGGCTCATGTTAACATTGCCAAATCCCTGCATAAATCAGAACCAACTATTCGTAGAATGTACCTGTCAGCAATATGCTACGTGACATATGGCTCTACTTAATCAAATATACAATTCAATTTTTTTCCAACTCAGAATACTCCTTCAAGGCACTGTGTTAGTCAGTCAGTCATTCACACTCTGATGTGGTTTAAAACATTTAAATATTTATGTACCATATTTTATTTATATGTATAGCTGTGTCTAAGAGAATTCTTTACCCTGAGAGGAAACTGATATTTCTGAAGGCCATTTTGCAGTAGTTGCCACACATGGGTCTTCTTATAACAGGCACTGATGGTGAGTAAAAAAATCCTGGGTTTAAATAGATTTTTTTATCTATCAATGACTCTTTTATATTTTCTATTTTTGTTTTTTATTAAATGCATTGTTCAGAATATGACAAAAAAACCAGAAATTGGAGCTACAAAGATTTTTTTCACATTACTATTTGAACCAGCTGTAAAGATTTAGATCACACTAGCTCTTGTTTTACGCATGTCTTTTGCAACAAGAAAACCATGGAATGCCCTTAAAAAAGAATTTTTAATATAAAGCAGATGCTTTATCTTCTCTTACTTTGCTATTGTAGTGCTATGTTAGGTAATTAATTCCTCAGCTTTATGTAGGTCTTCATGCATATAAACATAATGATTTGCTCCCATGACAATTTGGAGGTTAGAGAATTGAAGGACTTCCTTAGGTCAATGCTGAACAGAAGAACCTCATACTTGGGGAATGAAACCCCAAATGCTGTATATAAAGAATATGAGAGGAGTGACTGTCTGGTCTTAAGTAGAAAAAATGTTCTATTTTTAAAATTACACTAAAAATTAGTAAAGGACATAAAAATAGTCTGAAATCTGTGTTACTTGTCATATGATACAGTTAAATGAATTACATGCTACTGGGAGCTGAAGGTACTTATTTCCATTAAAATTTAAATGTGACAGACATTACAAACATTTCACTTCTTTTCAATATAGGCTGACTTATGGAAAGGGGTAAAATTGAAAAAATATTATGAAGAAGCAGTTGGGTGTAAAGTTGATTCATGCACTCAGCCTCCTCATGGTACATTGAAAGAATGGAAAGTTAACAGAGGCAAGGGAAAGAAACTACATTGTACTTGCATATCACATAGAACTCATCTTGGGGTGTGTGTGTGTGTGTGTGTGTGTGTCTGTGTGTGTGTGTGTCTGTGTGTGTGTCTGTGTGTGTGTCTGTGTGTGTGTGTGTGTGTGTGTGCATGAAGTGCCTAATATCTTAAAGACCCACACTGGTGTTTCATTCTTCTAACAGTCCCTAAGAGTACACTAAGTAGCCTGATTGAAACTTTGACAAACTGAAACTATAAAGTACTTGGAAAAAATTCTGGGGAATAGGGTACTTTATACACAGATGTGGCACATCAGTCACAAAAATGTGGGCATAATATCCAGTGCATGTGTAGAGGACCCATATTCTCTAGAGTTCTAAAAAATAATGTGGGTTGCTTTGCCAGTGTGGAAACAGGCGCCAAATATTCTAGTGCCCATCCACTTCATTCTGTCACATTGTAGTTTGGTTCTGACTCATCTGACATAGCATACAATTGAAAATTAAACATGGTCATTTTGGAAACGGCTATGGAATGTGCATACCTGTTGCCAAGCTTGTACTGCAGTGTTTAGAGAATGAACTGCATGCTGCCCAAAGTTTACAAATATAGAATCAACTATCACAGTACAATCCAGAAGTTTTTCTGCTGCCTCAGAAACTGCAATCTGTCCATAGATGCTGAAGGGTTTCACCACACTCTGCATGGTAACATTTCTGCACTCCAGGAGTTTGCAATCAGCTTGAGTAGAGAACTGGAACTCCTGACAGACTGCTCCATCGTTCCACTGCCTGAGATAAACATGTGGTTCTCTAAAGGAGAGAATCATGTATTCTAGCTCAGCTGGCAGGTTCTTATCAGAGATGAATGGCTGTAGGTACTGTGGTGAAACTATGAAGAAAACAAACAAGCAAGGGAAACAACAAATTTAGAAGAGGTGACCATACATTGTGGGGCAAAACATATGAGCTTTCAGTTTGTAAAAAGTTTTACTTTGGAAAAGGAAAACAGTATGATACACAGGGTTAGATGACACTTAAGAAAGTTGAATTTTCAATTTTTTCTAAATTGAAATAAGGAGCCTACTGTTTGTTTAAGACAACATGTTCCCTTTTCAGAAAGTATATTTTATATCTGGAGCTGAGTTTTAAAAGAAAGCCTTACTGAGGCTCCAGTATTTTGGGAGTCCTCTCCCATAACTACCAATCAATGAATCCCTTATTCTCACAGCGGAATATTGACTCCCAAATACAAAAAGTAAAATTCCCAAAAGGTAAGGAGAGTCCTATAGAACTACCTTGTACATCTCGGCCACTCTCAAAAACATGAGTTTCTTCTAGAGAGTATTTTTTTTAAAAAGCAGTTTAATTCCCCCCCCCCCCTTTTTCTTTCTGAAAAGGCAACATGGCTCCCAGCAGCTGTGTTTGGTTTTAATCTGATTTTTGCTTTTTCCACTGTGTGTAAGTTGAAGAAAGTCCTAACACCTGGTATCAGAATGCATTAACTAGAATGATAGAGTACAGTCAAAAATGATTTACAAGTAACTATCTGATTAGGAACATTAACATTAGTAAGTATGTCAGAGGCTATTCTTGGATCATAGAAAAATTTAAATCAAAACCTATAAAACTGCTCAAGTTATCTGAGGTATTTGTCTATCTCCTACAGACAGTGTTCCTGCATTTGAAATCAGGCAATATAGTGAAGTACTTCTGGAATGTCTATGCCATTAATGCAATGACACAGCACACTGAACAAAAACAGATGCATCTCCTTCAAAAAGCTTATAATTGGAATAACAGTGAAACCTGTAATTCTTATAGATTTCTCAAAAATCCTTATTACAGAAGCTCCAAAATCTTAAAGCATTTCAAGAGTACTGTAAAATGTACTAGCTCGATAGTATTGGTGGAAAACAAAAAATCTATAAGCTTTTTGAAAAGACAGGGAACACCTGCTGGACATGCCTGCTGCCTCATGTGGCCACAGCCACTGCTGCTGGACAGACTTGGCAATGCTCCTCCCTGTTCCAGGGAAAACGAATGGCACTTCTAAAAATAGTCAGTCCCATGGGAAAGGCAATCGGCAACCACAGCATTCTGGGCATGGAAGGCTCCTAATACAGGCAACAGAAGGCATCAATTTGAAATTGAAACCCTTCTCCTTTGCACTTCCTGGAAGTAAGTTACCAGGGCAACTGTTAATGAACAGTGTGACTCAGAACTAGCAAAACTAAGTAAGAAAGATGAAAAGGTTTGCATTCTGTCTCGGAATAGAGAGTACCTGTGCCCAACTGATCAAGGTGATGACACAAACGGAATTCTAGGTGAGCGCACTGGAGAGAGACAGTGAGGGATGGCACAAACCACGGAGTAAAGCAGGAGTCCACTCGAGTACAGGCAGCCAGGGCTGTTGGTGTTACAAGCTGATCACAAGCACTTTGAGAGCCAGATTCACTTTCAGAGCTGTGGGAAATAATTAAAAAAAAAAAAAAAGGTTCACTACCTCTAGCTTTATGTCACTTTACAAATGAAGTGACTGTTTTTCTATTTTTTTTTTGTTGTTTTTAAAATAGCAACAAGAAGCTAAAACTATGGTTATTTTACGATGTCATAAAATCTTCTATAATTATTATTCTGAAGTCATCTCTTGATAATGAATGTGTTGACTATCTTCCATAAATTTACCTGCAGTAAATTCCTCTTCCTAGGTTGGCTACCCACTCTAATACTCTGAGGCCACCCTAAATCAGGTGTGCTTTGGGAATGCAAATTAATTTTCATATCAGCTTGAGCCAAATGTGATTTGGAAGATAAATCTGTTGCAAGAAACACAGAGCCTCCCAATACCAACTAAATATGAGTTTTTGCTTATCTATTGTTCCTGATTATCTACCCCCTTCCCAGCCCTCTCCCTCAACCAGTAGGTCATTCAGCAATATTTCTCTGCTTTGAGCCCTGGTCTAGGTGTCCTAGGAAACAGGACCAAGGCTGGGAGGATGAGGGGTCACACTATATGCTTCCTCTTCCTCTCTCCAACCTTTTTACGTAGAAAAAATCATACAGAAATCAGAATTATATGTAGCAGCAGCCTGAAAAGGTGTAGGAAGGAGGCTGCTGTAACAGGAAGGGAGATGGGGAATGGGAGTACAGTACACGTTCACACTAATTTTATTTGGTCATGGTAGGTCACCGTTTGCCACCACCTCCTCCCTGCTCTGGGTTATTATCCTTCTTGTTTAGTCTACATTGGATGACAATGCCTTTGACAGCCCTTGAAACTCTGAAACCCCTCTTCCATGGCTGTAACCCCTGGCTGCCTAATCCCCAGAGCGGAGCGATCCCATATTCTCAGCACAGTTCTGATGGGAGATACAAAAGACGTAGAAAGGAAAGTTTCTGTCCACAAGTGCTGGGGATACATGGAGCAAAAGACTGATAAGAATGGGGTAAGTCAGATTAGTCAGTGCTCCTTGAAGGATTTTAATTTTGAATCAGGTTCGGAAAGATGGGAGTGAACAGGATGGATAAAAAAGTATGGGGAGATCTTTCAACAAATATCGAATGAGTGCTTACACCTCTGAGAACATAAAATACAAGTTATTTACATTTGGATTCTGTTTTGCAACATTAGTACACCTTTACTGTACAAGATATATACATTTCAGAGTAGTAAAACACACAAACACAGATATGTGTGTATATATGTATATGTGTATATTTTTGCACATATATATTCACATAAACACATATATCACAGAATCATAGAGCTTGAGAACTGGAAAGGACTTCAGTAACTATTCAGTCTATTTCATACCTAAAAGGAATTCTCATTATAGACACATATAATGATAGATATAGATCTATCTTATCTGGATGGATAGATCTATCAATAGCCATATATATTATATAAAAAGATAGATACAGTTGTTTTAACAGGCATATATACATCATAGCAACCTATCCTTCCTCTTTTCCTAAAAATATATCCATCCCAAAATAAAGGTGCTAATAATTTACTTATTATATCCAACATAAAAATCACTTTAACAAAGCAAAATTATTGCTTTTATGTTAGAAAAAACCGGATGTTATAAGTGCTTTCATTTCTGAACTCCCACATTTTACTATTTAAAGTTCATCACCTACCTTGCAGGGTTGTTGTAAAGCTCAAGTGAGATAATTTATATAAAGCACTTGTAAATTTAATAATATACATGTCAATATTATTACTATCAGTTGTATATATAGGTTATGTATGTATATAAATATGTATATATAGGTATACATGTGTGTATATACACATACATGTCTTTAAATTTGTAGAGGTCAATGAGATCAGTGATAAAATAGCAATATGAAGTATGCTTTGGATGGATTTTCCTCTTACTAACTGCAATCTCTGATATGGTAAATTTTTCTAAGGCCTATCCTGGCATCTCTTATGAGCAGTGAACACAGGAACACATAGTATAAAAGCTTGAAAAAACACTACGAGGCAGTGTTAGCCGAAAAATTCATTTATACTAAATTATAAAAGCAGAGAAAGTACAGTGTAATAGTTACAGTGTTCGGCTCAGAGTCAGGATGACTTTGGCTCAGATTTCATCACTGACACTCACTAGCCAGGGGACCTTAGGTTAAGTCACTTAACTCACATGCCTAGGATTAACCTCCTTAGTCACAGATCGCTCGAAATCTGCTTCAGGGGTGGTGGGGGGGGAAAACGTTCCTCAGCGGGACTTTCTTATGTCGACAAAAAGCACAGATACCTTTTTTAGGGTTTTTAGAAGTTGGGGGTTAGCCATTCAAAGTCAGAAAAAAAGAACCATGCCAGTAATCAACAATGCTACAATTTAACTTTAAACTACTAAATCAAACGTTGCCATCCTAAATCCAAAAAATTATCCCAAAATATACACATTGGTATCATATCCAGATGAACAATTCTAAAAGTATGAGAAACATGTATAATGTGTTCTGGCCTCAATTTAAGTATGTTTAGAATAAACAATTCCATAGGTTTTCAAATGTTTCTTCCATTTGTTCATCACCACAATGCACTATAAAAAGTAGCCTACATGTAGTTACTTTTAACATGAGGGTTTTGGCAGAATGGAACTCAGTGTTCACTGCTCATAAATGGGAGCTGATGGATCTGCTAGAATTAGTTATAGCTGCTATATTTTTGCAAATTTTCTTATATGGACACAGCTATGTATAGATTTCAATCTAACCTAGGCACCAAAAGGAAGAGACAGAATTTATGGGACAATTATGGGTGGCAGGCATAGAAATAAAAAAAAAAAAACCTCCAAACTTCGAACATCTATATTTTAACACTCCCCCTTTTCCCACCAGACTGCCAAAACAGGTCAGATTCATGGGCCATTGCCAATGTTCACAGTATTCTCTGGTGCTGCTGGTTCCTAACATGCTGAATGATGGCTCTTGGAAGCAAGCAAGACCTCTCGACTTATAATAAATGGATCTCATAAGATTCAGTAGTTAGTTCAAACATCCAGAAGTTCAGATGCAAAGCTAAACTTCTTGGATCCCTTTATACCTAATTCAAATAAAAGAATAATCCCATAAGATTTCTAAGCAGGAAGAAATATATAACAGAGAATTAGAATTCTTCTGCAGCCCCATAGCTACTTTAGGAAATTTTAGGTGGCTGCTGAGTAGTATTTAGTATTTTGGGAAAATAATGATGAGCTACTTTCAATTTATTGGACTGGAAGTTCAATGAGGGCAAGACCCTCTTTTTACTCCTTTGTATTTGTATTTTTGTTTTACTCTTTATATCATCCAGAGTCCTTAACAGAATGCCTTGTGCATAGTATGCATTCAACAAATATCTGCTGGGTTAAATAATTGATGAGTGAAAAACTTTAGTTTAGAGACTATGAAGGTAGTAAGAGAAAAAACAAAAGCATTTTTATATTTAAAGATGTACAAATTTAGTTTGCAAAAAACTGCTTATACTGAACCACAAGAAAACAAATGAAAGGCAAAGTCTTTGAAGGGTTTTCATTTCTGGGAGGGAAAAGAAAAAACAAAAACAAAACCCTGTAAGAATTACTTTCCTAAGGGGCAGAGGGAAAGCAAAAATTTATGCAGGCAGAACCCTGGCTTATAAATGAAAGAATTTTCCAGTATAAAATCTTGAATTATTTTAATAACGAGAAACTCAGATGACAAAACTGTTTCAAACCGTACTGTTGTTGCCCAAGTGGCTTATGAAACTATAGGGACAAGAACAGTACCCAACACATCCCTGGTCTGTAGCTAGCACAGCAGACATGAAGAAGCCCAAGGAGGGGGAGCAGTATCTAGAGACAACCCTAATCTTCCCCACAAGAGAATGAGCCTGTGACCCAGAGAGTGATGATCTATGAACAAAGGGCCAGGACAGAACAAAGATCTATAAATGGCAAGGCTAACCTGGAGTTATTAGAATCATAAGGGCGTATTCCTTTTTCAGTGTGACTATCACCAGAACAGTGTAACACAGCGAGGAAATCCTATCTCTTCCATGAAGCCTTCTTACCTGTTTCTGCCTACTCTGATCTTCCATATTAACATATTATTATGTATAACACTCATTTTGGCACTTATCGTAGACTGCCTTGTCATGCCACTTAACTATTTCATATGCACAGATCTTCTCTCCTTAACAAACATACACGCTGCACAAGAAAAAGACAGAATATAAGCTCCTTGGGGCAGTGACTATTTCCTCCTCACTAGGTGTCTTCAAGAAAGGATTGGCCATCCACTTGCTAATTCGTATTCAGGTATGGGATGGTCTAAATGGCTTCTGAGCTTCCTCTCCACGCTGGGTTTCTGTGATAATCCATTTTAGTTTTGTCTTTGTATTTGTAGCATGTAGGATTGTACCTTACACAGAGTGGGCACCTAATAGATATTTATTAAATTTGTGAATAAGACAGCGCATTCTTTATTTCTTTTGAAGAATAACATACTGTGGAAGCTTAAAAATAAGTGGTGGAAAAAGGCACCACCAGTCTGCTTAACGTCTATTATTTTGTGTCTTATATATGTGTGTATGTGTCACATCCCCCTACTGAAGTAGGAGACAAGAGGGAACCCCAGGAGACTTTTTAAAAGGAAAGAAATGACCAGATCAATGCATAAGCAAGATGGATTTGTCCTAGGAGAAAGATCACAGGATCGTAGGATGCAGAGTGGGAAGGATTGTAGAGATGATCAAGTCCAAACTCCTAATTTAGCAGAGGAGGTGAGTGTCTTACCTGAGTTCACCCTGGTAAAAGGTAAACTTTGGATGAAGATCAAGATGGGAGTCTGGGGCTTAGAAGAAAGGTCAGATCTGGAGACGGAAAGTTGAGAATCACCTGTTTATAAGTGATGGTTGAGGCTGTGGGAGAAATGAGCTTGCCAAGGTAAAGAATGTAGAGAGGGAAGAGGAGAAAGTTGACAAT